CACGGCTGCTGCGTGACACGACGGAACATCCCGCGTCTGCGCGAGGCGCCAGCTGCACCGGCTTCCCCTCTGCGCAACCCGCCCTGGCAAGCCCCCGACTGCGGCCGCCTACCCCTCTCCTCCCACCTTTGTCCTGGTCTGGCCAAGCCAGGACAGGTGGAGCCCCCCAGCACAGTCGCTCTTTCACACCAGCTCCCCTCCCGCCAGCATCCTCTTGTCCGGAGGCCCCGCGGTCAGCCCGCTGCCCCCCGCCCAGGGCGCCATTCCCTGCTACTTGCCGCAGAGCGCCGCACCAGGAGCCAGTCCACTGATGGCCCTGCTAGGCCAAAAGCACCTGGCGACGTACCTGGGGGAGGGCCTCCGTACTTCCTCTGGCCATTCACCTGCACCAGCTGGATGCCCGTCTCCTTCACCCAGGCCAACAGGGCTTGCTTGTTGGCCTGATTGACAGCATCGCTCCACATCTGCCAAGGAGCCAGACAGACACGTTTTCCAAGGGCCGCCCGGCTGCTATTTCTGACCTCACGTGGGAGGCGTTCAAAGAACCCGAGTGGCAGGGACCCATCCCACCAGGAGACAGATGCCCATTTGCCGCGGAGACGAGTCTTCCTGCTCGCCAAGGTCAGAGGACACCTGGCATGACGATGGTTATGGTGACCAGGACCAATGTAGCCGGAGCCCAGCAAAGGCTCCAGGACAAGGTGTCAGGAGAAACCATCTCAGCATTAGACACACACAGATGCCCAAGACCTATAAAGCTATGGGGGCACCTTTGGGAAGGGCAGACAACCACCAGCTCAGACTAAGGGCAGGCCAGGCTACCCAACGGGTGCCAGAGAGACTCTCATGCGCATGTGGTGGTCTCCACTTTGCTCACACCAGCCAGAAGCTGCATTTTCTAAGTCTCAGGTTACGTGGCAGCTGGAGAGAGCAGACTGCCCCTGCTGGCCAAGCCGCAGCCCCTGTACCCCCCCCCCCAAAAGATCTGGGGATGCGGAAACTGCAGCAAGGAGCTTTTCAAGCCTTTCCCATGTTTGCAGGGCCAGGGACAGCCCAGGTCCCTTTCACCCTGCTAGCTAGTCACTCCCCCGTACAGCCACATTCAGCTCCCAAGCCAACCCCACCTCCCGCCCCCCAGAAGAGGAGTTGCTTCTGGGTTCTGCTAAGCCAGCCATTCCCTTCTCTCTGGTGGCTTAAGGTCCCAGGCCTGCCTGAGCCCCACCACTCTCTAAGGCAACCCCGAGGGGTGGGGGGGGGGGGAGAGTAACCACTTCTAAAGTGCTACATTGTCCTGCATTTTGCCACTTCTACAGCTGGAAGCCAGGAACCCAAGGAGGCAGGGAACCAGCGGAGGCAGGCAGGGAGAGACTGAAAGGGGGAGGGAGAATTAGGTGGAAAGCCGAGGCGGCTGGGACATGCTGAGGAGCTGCCTCCTTAGACAGCTCCCCTGCCTCGGGGAACCCAGGGCCCAGGGCTACTCCGCTATCCCGGTGCGGACTCAGTGGGGGGATGAAACGTGGCCACTGACAGAGGCACCGGGATTCCGCTCCCTGGCGCTGCGATCTGGACGCTCAGGCTTGGAGGGCGGAGAACTTGCTGGGGCCCCCGGCCCCCGGCCCCGCAGCGCAGCCCAGGGAAAGCAGCCGGGCAAAGGCAGGAAAGTGATGGAGACCCCATTTTGTGAGGCACTGTACACACAATGAAAAGACAATATCTATCCTGAAGAGCTAATAATCTAAGTATAAGACACAGGTGGATACAACAAGCAGACAAAACAAAATATGAGGCAAAATGAGATGATTATGATTAGGGTAAAAAGCAGCAATCATAGCACTGTTGAGGCATCATGGAAGAGCTGCATTTTAAGGAGACACTTGAGAGAGAAAACATTACATAATTGCAAGCTCAGTCATCTTCAGATGTTAGGCAGAGTCCTGAAATTAGCACATGATTATACCACAGGTCTATAACGAACCACAGGCTTATAACAAACCACAGACAAAAATGCACTCAAGCTTTGCGGAAAGACAGATGTGGGTTTTGGAACCAAACCACTAGGTTCAGGTCCATCGCTAGCTATTTCTAATTGTTTTGGATGGGGTCAAATTGAATGAATGTGGGAAATCCCTTTTTTCAACTTATTCCTCATGTCTGTCCTCATTTTCCCACCTTGCAGAACCTTTTTCTAATCTTCTGACTCCCTACCCTCAGTTTGCTGAAAGAAATGGGGGGTATAGCACACTGAACTGTTTTCCAATCAGTCTTAACGGTATTAATTTTTTCATTATTCAGATTTATAAATTAAAAAAAAACATGTTTCCTAAGTTTGGGGCATAAACTACCTGAGCATGACCCTTTACAAGAGTGAGATCTGGTCTGCTTTGTAGGGACACAAGGACAACATTTTCAAAAGAGTCTTGCTCATCTAACTTGAGATGCCATAGGCCTACATTTTCAGAGGCCGTGAGAACCCATGGTTAATTCTAAGATTTGGGAGATGATATGTCAGAACAATGAACCTTCATTCTTATCAGACTAGTTACCCAAACATGAATGAACTCTTTAGAAAATATTTGGCCTAAATACCTTGAAAATCTCAAAAAATAAATCTAGTTCCTTCTGACACGACTACTATCCATGTCAGGGGTGGGCAATAATTTTTTATGGGGGGAGGGGCACTCCAAGAATTTGGTAGCTGGTCAAGGACCACACTCTTCCATGGTATTAATGGAGGAAGTGCAGGGTCTGGGGTGGAGGCTGGGTGCAGAAGGAAGCTCAGGCTAAAGCACTGAGGTGTAGGGGCAGGGAAGGAGGTCGGGTAAAGGAGGGGTTGTGACCTGGTGCAGGAGGGGCTGCAGTTTGGTTTGTGACCTGGGACAGGCAGCTGGGTTATAGGAAGGGGTGGGGTGGGGTGCCAGGTGCAGGCTCTGGCTGGAATACACTTACCTTTGGCTGCTCCCAGCCAGCAGCCCAGCAGCACCCTGCCTGTCATACCCCAGCATGCCACTCAAAGCAGCCAGCTGCAGGGGCCATGTGTCTGCAGACCACCCCCCCCTTGGGGGACCCTCTGCACATTGCCTGTTCTGCAAGCATGGCCCAGGCGGCCCATGGGAGCTGCGAGTGGCACTTAGGGGCACATGGCCCCCACAGCCACCTGCTTTGGGCAGCGTGCGGGGGCATGGCTGGCAGGAAGTCGTATTTTGCCACCCCTGCCCTAGAGGCAGCGAAACCCACCCAGTGAAGCTGCTCATGGAGAGGCGGAGATTCATTTCTTTTCTCTCAGAATTAACATGACACAGCTCCTTCCCACGGGGCCCTACCCAACCAGCACAGCTTTGGCTGGGTCAGATGCAGCCGTAGCACCTTGACATCAGTACAACTGAATCAGGGGCACCCTTGGAAGTCAACGGAAGTTTTGTGACAAAAATGACAGAATTAGATCCTATTCTATTTGCTTAGGAACCTCAGTCCTTGGTCTACCCTCTCTTTCAGTGCCACTAGTTATCATGAAACTCCCCTGTACTGATAGCTAAGAAGAACTAAGGGTTTGCTGACAGTATGACTTGAATAATTCAGCACCATTCAAATGTATGCAAAAGTAGCAGCTCTGTAATTTTCTTACTTGCCAGGTGGAAAACAGTTGCCAGTTCCTACCCTTACAAAAACGTGCTAAGTGACTGTAACCACTCTTACTTTGGAGAATAAAAAGGAGCTGGGTTCTCATTAATTTAAACAATATCTGGCCTCTTGAACTGCACTTTTAAATACGCCATCATGACAGTCTGCTGAAGATGCAACATTTATTTTAAAGTGACTTGTCGCATTTCAATGCATGCAACTTTCTAATCCGTCTAGGATAGTTCCCAAAAGCCCAGCTCATTAGGCATTCAGCTGCCACTACATTTTGATTGGATTCAGACAAATCTAAACACGCGAGCAGTTACTAAAAGCCTGCAGCTAGCATTAGGGTTTGTACACAGAAGAGATTACAACTCGCCAATGCAGCTGTTTTACAGAATAATCTTGAGAGGGGACGTAGGACTGAGATTAGATGAATGTCTCAAGAAAACTAATGAACAAACAAGCTTGAAGGGATGTAGGGAGGCAGAAATGCCTAAGGGTTACACAGACTCTGGTACACTGATGGCAAGGAAATATTACAGTAAGAAGAGCGGATAAACACTCAGTGGACTTACTGTTAAACTAAGCCCAATGGGCAGCAGCCAAAGCAAAGGAGGCTAAGATGTTTATGAAGGGGACGGAGCGAGTTCACAGAGATCAGCAAGTGATACACAAACTACTGGGGACAGACAGCACAGAGCAACTCCACTAATGTGGGAGAAAACTGGAATTCTTTAGTTCTGGGAGCTGACTGCAGCACAGCAGCTAGCTAAGGGTTATTCTCCAATGCAACTGAATGTGCCTGAGGTCACTCGGTAAAGCAGAACTAGGGAGCACATGCTTAAAGGGTCCCATGTAAAACATTTAATCAGGGATTATTTTACAGACTGGTGAGGAGAAAACAGCAAAGGTGACAGTGACATTCTAATGTATTTACATCACAATGGGGAGACTAGAATTTTATACATTAAAGGGGGATTAGGAGCAGGGAACTGTGTTGATAACAGCTAGTTTTACAGGAGATTATGGATGATTGGCACAAAGTGAAATCCTTCCACGATATGTCAGGAATTAGGTAAGAGCAGAGATGGCCGAGACAACCAGGCTACCTTCTGCTATGTACAGCACCAAACTCAGGTCTTCCCTGTGCTTTTTCTGTGATGTTTCCAACAGGATTGGCTAGAGAAGACTTTTCACTGCACACTGCATAATGCTGTCCCCAGAGCTCTTTGTGAAAGGTCCCTGGAACTCAAGGAACAGCTCAGCCGCAGCAATGACATTTAACAACGGACTCTAGTCCTGGGGCTGTGCGGTGGGTGGGGTAGGGGGGGAACAGAGGCCCTGACATGCCCAGAAGCCAGGAAGAGAGGAGACAGGTGTGGGACTGTCAGAGGTTTATTGAGCTTACTTAGCATGTTGGACACAGAGACAAGGTCTCTTCCCTGCTAGGCAGGAAAGTGACTCTGTGCAGAACATTTATTCAACCAGAAAGGAACATGCAGCCGTGGCCACGACCCTCCGTGTCTGCAAATGGCCCAGGGGCCACAGCTCCGGCCAGGAACAGTAACGATTGCAGACACACGGCTGGCATTCTCCAGAAACGTCCTCTCTAGTGTGCTTCATTGGCTACGCCCAGGAGCCCAGCAGCTCCAGGAGGCAAAGCAGCACCTCTGCTCCCTCTGGGAAAAGGCATTTCACGATGAAAGAATAAATACAGCGTCCAAGACTCCTGTGCCACGAGCAGAGTAGTCAAGAACTCGGACATTTAGAGAGGAAATCTCGGCAAGTCTTGCCCTTCCCCAGAAGCCGATGAATGAGCGGGTGTGGCTGGCGGGAAGGGCGCTAGGGCTGGCACGTTCGCCTCCTGATTTCCTCCACAAGGTTTTCCCTACGAATGTCAACCTGAAAAACAAATTAAAAAAGGGAATTAATAGAACCGCTCCCTTCCTATAACCCAGCCTCCTCCTGGAGTCCATCCACACGCTGCCCTCCCAGGGAGCAAGGCAAAGCACTTCACAGCGGCTCAGCTGGAATCAGCGTCCATGCACATGTCTGCAGATCCACGCTCTAGGTAAGAGGCTCAGCTGCCTGACATCTCTAGCACAAGGCCCAATCTACACAGTGTCGATCGCTCCTTTCCTGAAGTTGTTGCCTTGTTTCTGAACTGGCCCTCCGTAGACTTGCTCCAGCCCATATGTACTAACTACTGGCACCAATGCAAGACCTCATCTCCCCTCCCCGTCTGCATCTTGCATCTGTGCCCCCTCAGTTCACCCACTGGTGGGCGAGCCGTCTTCTCTGCCTGCCGCATCAGAGGGCCTGCCTGTATCTCACTAAGTCAGATGAATGCGCTAAGCTCCTTTGGCTTCTTCTGCTAGTGACCTGAAGGCCCCCTCAGATGCAGCATGTGGGGAGGCCCAGCACTAATACAGCTGCATTGTATCCACAGCTGGGGTACAACGGACACCCCGATCTCCCTTCCAGCCTCCACCCCCCCAGTCTGGGGCAGCTTTGGACCATTCCATCTTTGGTCAGATAGAGCCGGTTCATTGCTTCCTTCAGCCCTTCCCTCTGCCGCCAGGGCATCCTCACCTCTTCCCGGGTAGCTACGACTCGCAGCTTGATGACTCCGTCCTTCAGCTCCTGCTCTCCCACGATGGCAACGAGGGGGATTCCCGCCTCCTCGCAGTACTGCAGCTGGCTCAGCAGCTTGGGGTTCTTCTTGTACAGCATCTCCGCCTGGAGGGGACCCACAACACAACCAGACACTGCACACCTGCTGCTTTCCCCAGTCCTGGTCTTCTATTTCCCTAGCTGGTTTGCATCTGTGCGGGGTGCCCTAGTTCTGTGCTCCTGAAAGGGGTGGGGCCAGGGCAGCCAGCCCCCAATGCCGCCCAGACCACGGCGTGTGCCCCCAGCCCGAGGTGCATGGATGGCAATCCAAAGGGCCGGGGATTCCCCGGGGAAGTTGCTCCTTTTGTTCTGCCCACTGCCTGGGAGGGCCTGGCTGAATGTGGAGAGCCTCTCGTACCAGTGCCAACGGCGGGCCTGGCAGCTGAGCCAGTGAGCAAAGGAGACAATATTCCCCAGCTGGACAAGGCAGCAGGGGAGTGGCAGGAGGCAATTCCACTGTGTCAGAAGCAGCTGCTGGCTGCCATGCTGGAGGTCAGTGATGGTTTCCACGTGTGGGGCTACGCTGGAGCCAAGCGAGAAGGACCCTTGCGAAAAGGATTCCTAGTGCTGCATGGTCCAGGGAAAGCAGGAAGTCGGGAAGCCACCTGCTGCCTGCGCATAGCGTCAGCAGAACTGCTCTGCTGAAACGGGTGTCTGCCCCCCCCCCCGCCCCGAGGCTTTAGTCCATCCCCAGCACCAGGGGTGGAAGGGCTTGGAGCCCACCCGTTTCTCCCCCCACTCGGACTCTGCCCCCTGCCCAGCCAGACCTTGATCCCGGAGTCCCACAGCTCGGAGATGAGCTTCAGTCTCTCTTCCAGGAGTTTCTTCTGAGCAGCCGCTACAAGCACCTGTGTCTCTGTGGTCCGGATCTTCTCCTCGGAGGCCTGCAGGCAGGGGCGAGTCTTGTGAGAGCGGTCACCACCGCACGGAAACGCCCAGCCACGCCAAGCCATGCCCCCAGCCAGCCGGACCCTTCCCATTGGGAACCACCCCTGCTCTCAGCGCACTTCGCAAGCACGGACTGAAGGGAAGAGTCCCGGGGAACCCACGAGCAGAATCCCCGCAGCCCTTGGCTCCTTGGTGTTTCCAGCGCAGTTTCCAGTCTCCCTGCTGCAGCGCACGGGTGGAGCTTTCACTGGAGATGAGCCCCATGTACTGGGTGTGCTCTCCCTGGCCCCGCCGCACAGAAAACCATTCCCTGCGCCGCCGCAGGAGGCCCAGTAGGAGCAGCCGGAGCCTGGTACCTAAGCAAAGGGTGCCACGCTCCCGAGAGCGCCCTTCTCCTGCCCAGCTTGCAGTAACGGGCGAGAGGGAAGGGGCGTTTCCTGGCTTGGAAGCTTTGAGTCCAGATCCGAAGCTGGGTCTCTGGGTGCCAGCTGGGGTTCCCAGGCCTGCCCAGCCATGCCGGTGCTGAGCTCAGAGAGCTGCAGCAGTTTGATTTAGGGACCTAAGCGGGTGACCAACCCAGGCTGTGGGGCTGCGCACTGCCTGGCCCCGCAGCTTTCCAGCAGCCCTGTGCGCGCAGGGAGGGAGGGCAGGTGCCCGGAACAGGAGCCAGGTGGCACTCACCTCCGCTTTCTGCTCCATGATGGAGAAGATCCGCTCGATCCCGATGCTGACTCCCACACAGGGCACCTTCCGCCCCTTGGGGTCGAACATCCCCACCAGCCCGTCGCCACGCTGACCGGCTCCTCCTTGTGGGTGCTCTGAGGCTGCAGCAGGATGGCCTCATAGATCACCCCAGTGTAATAGTCCAGCCCCCGCGCCAGGCTCAGGTCGAAGGAGATCTGCGGGACAGGAGGGGAATCCCGTTACCAGGCACAGCGGGGCCGTGGGCTGCCCAGCCAGGCCTGGGTGAGCACCCCTCCCCCACTCACCTTCTCTGCAATGCCAAACAGGGTCAGGTACTCAAATAGCAGCTTCATGTCTCCCAGCCCCTCCCGGGCCAGCTTGTTCTGGGACAGCTGAGGGTCCTGGAGCAGCTGCTCAATCAGACCCAGCCCACCTGCAGAAATGAGACACCTGAAATATACCAGGCAGGGAGGGCCAAGCTTCCATGGACTCGTTCCACTCAGCCTGGCTCTCAGCCGCCCCCGCTCTCCTTCGGCCTCATGCATCTGCATCTCCCCTGGGCCACACGGGGTGCAGACAGCAAGTCAGGCTGGCACGGGAGGGAGCAGCCAAATGCCTAGGGAACCCTGACTCCCCCCACGCAGGGACTGAGCAAGCTGGACTGGCTTGCGGGAAGGCGAGGTGACCCACACGGTCTCTCAGCTGGCCTGGATGTGGCTGGACCGGGAACCGGATCTCACAGCTCCACAGAACTCACCATGCAGCCGAACGTATTCCCCGATGCGATCCGCAGCCTCTGGCGAGAGCCCCTTCTCCCCAACCATCTCGCTCCTCACGTCCTCCCATGTTGCCTGGGGAGGAGGAGATGTGTTAACGTTCTCAGCTTCCCTCACTGAACCCCTCGCCCAGATTCCCTCTCCCACAGCAGCCACCCCAGGGGTTCGAAACACCTGGCAGAAAACTGCAGGAAAGGGGAGAGCACTGCCTGGCGGCTGATCCAGTTAGAGAACTCCCATTTCTAACCTTCACCCCCATTCAGTGCCTTCAGCCTATGCTCAATGCTCGTATTAACGAGTTGGTAGGGAGGAACTGGGAAATCAGCCTCTAAAGCACCTTGAGGCCTCAGAGTTCCAGGATCCAGTCAATTTCTCTCATGTGAAGCAGAAGGGGGCCGGGGTGAGTGGGGGGGAGTAAAAGGAGAAACAAAGAACGGTTAGGAGAGAAATGGAGCACACAGCTAGAAAAGGTTGAGAACAGGAGGGAAAAGCCCTGCTGAGGAGGGGATAACAGGGAACACTCTGCAGACAAGCCCCCTGAACAGCACCAAAGTCAGTAAGTATTTATCACCCCCTCCCCATTTAACAGAAGGGAAACCGAGGCACACAGTGGTTACGTGGCTTTTCCAAAGTCCAGCACAAATCAGGCTCAGAGCTGGGATTAGCAGGTACCTGGGCCGGGCTCGCACTGCTACTGAGAGGCAGGGATGAAGAGGGACAGACTGAGTCACTAAGAGAAGTAGCCAGTTGGCTCTGGAATGAGGCAGGGTCCCACTTTTGCAAGTAGCCCACTCACCCCGGCCACTCACTGCCCTCCTAAGGGTTGTGTCTCTAGGGAGCGCTGCTCTAGCAAGCGTAGTCAGGGAGCATACTGGTCACCGATCTATGCGGCCCCTCGGGCCAAGTTACCCCTTGGCTTGCTGTAAAATCCTCGGGCCGGCAGCTCCTCTGGACATGGGGCGAAGCTCCAAGCCCCAACCCGGCCCAGGGCTGTGCTTATGGCAGAAGGAGACGGTGAGTGCAGGCCACCCCCCAGGCAACCACACTGCAGCTCCCAGGTCAAGGCGGCTGGACAGCTGGGCTCCGGCTGGTGCTCCGTGGGAGGAGGGGGCCATGGAGGTCTCACTAGCGAGGCAGTGGGGGGCCAACCCACCTTTGATCTCATTCATTTTCACCACCTGAGGAGGAGGTGACAACTACTTCTATTGCTCCCCTGGAGCTCCTGTTGAGCAGTGTGGAGTGTTTGGCTGTTATCTTGAACTTGCCTGGCTACAACAGAGCTGCACCCTCACAAGCCAGTGGGGCTGGCAGACACCTGTCAATCATGACAAATGGGCGGATCCCAGGAAGTGTGGCTACCAATCCCAGTACTCCCAGCTGTTTCAGGCTGGTCTCTGCTTCCACTGGACTGTGGAGACAACTTCCTGTGACATCTCACCTCCCTGAGCACCCAGACTGCAGCTCCTTCCTCCGGGAGACATACTTGCTGGGGAGGGGGTGCTCTGAAGTGCCGAGTCCGCATATGACCCCAGCCCCCCACAGACAGGGCAGCCAGCAATGCCCAGCCTCCACAGACAGCCTGGCTCCTGCTTTGATGCTGGATGGAGACTTGTACTTCTCCCGGGGTTATATTTACAGAGCCATTGACAGGACAATGCTTCTCCATCCTAGTCATTTGCAAACATACCTGCCAAAGCGAGCAGGCTGCCTGCAGGAGCCTGGCGTCTAACCCTGCCATTATACCAGATCCCAAGGGCTTAGAAGGGTGCTGGAGAACAGCTGAGCTGGGAGGAGGCCCCAGCCCAGCAGTGACCACCCATGGCCCCAAAACCACTGAATTAGAAAGAAAGCTTTTGAACATTCTGACCAGCAGGTTTGCCAGGTGGCCACCAGGCGAGGGGCGATGGGATCCCTGCTCAGACACCGCAGAGCGTCACCGCTCCAGGGCAGTAGGAACCGGCAGCTTGTCCTTTTGACCCTGTCATGGTGAATGAAGAGACCCGCAGAATCCCATGGGTTAGGGTGACTTGTGCTGCACAGCTCTTTGCTATGGAGCCACTGGCAATGTTGAGGGAAATAGTACAACTAGGTCTCCACAAAACACCCTATCTAGGTACCGGACACCCAATGCACAGGGAGAGGAAGAGAATTTACGAGCATCCTCCAAACAGACTCCACTGCCCTTCATCTGTCTGAACAGCCGGTGCTGACTGCGAGGGTTATGAAACTTCAGCCCTTACCTTGTCTAGTTTGTCCACAGTGGAGCAAATTGTTCGGAACTTGCTGTCCGGTACCCCACAAACTGCAAACATCCCATCAAGGATCCGCCGGTCATTGACCTGGAAGGAAGCAGAGTCAAGGAACCCAATGGAAATATCCCAGTTACAATGGAATTTTAAACTCGCTCCTCTAGGACACTGGAGTAGAGGAGAGGTGCTGCCCCCACTCCACAACAGCTCCCAAAAGCTAAGTTGTTCCTGCTGCAAAACAGTGGACAAGTGGGAACTGGATGACAATTTAGCTGGACTTTCAAAAGGCCTCCTAAGATACTACCTAGCAACCGAGAGTCATGGATGAGAAGTCAAGTCCCCATCATGGAACAGAAACTGGCCAGGACAGAGAACAAAGAGGAGGAAATGTTTGATTTTCAGCATGGGAAAAATTAACAGCACATGCCCCAAATTTCTGTCTCAGGACAAGCATTTAGGGTATGTCTAGACTACAAGCCTCTTTCAAAAGAGGCTTTTTTTGTTTGTTTGTTTTTTTAAAGAGAGACTTTCAAAAAAGCCTCTTTCGAAAAAGAGCATCTAGATTACAAGCAGATTTTTCGAAATAGCGAGCCGCTTTTCAAAAGGGACTCTAGACGCTCTTTTGAAAAAGCACAGTTTGCATTCAATAGCGCCTTTTTTCAAGTGTCCGTTTGAAAAGCGCTATTCCTCGTAGAACGAGGTTTACCGCGATCGAAAAGACTGCCACGTTTTTTCAATTTCCTTTTGAAATAACACGGCTACAGTCTAGACGCAGGTGAAGTTTTTTCGAAAAAAGGCTACTTTTTTTAAAACACGCCCTTAGTGAACACATCACACAGCAAAGTGTCAGGGTGACAAGCATCACAGTCAGCCAAGTCTGAGGAACTTCTGAGAGATCTCGTTAAAGTAGGTGTGTGGGCAGCACATCAGATGACAAATGCTGGACAATGCACAGCAGTGCAAATCATCAGACCCACTGCTGGGTTCCAGACTGATTACCAACACTCGGGGGTGGGGGGGGGAAACGTGAGCAATAATGAAAACCGGTTTACAGCCATGACCAACAACGAAAAGAGATGCCAAAGGAACAGGACGGGGAATATCCATTAAATGCCTCATTTGGAATACCAATGAGGGTTCTGGACCCCTTCTGTCAGTGGAGTAAAAGCACAAAGAAGAGGGGTGCAGAAAGAGGGGAGAGCAGAGATCCAGACAGGAAGAGACAAACAACTGAAATTAATTCACTGACAAAACATTTCATTAACACCGAATTACAATTGCTGGGTGGCAGTGTGTGGCCTTGCAAAATGCCAACTCCAGCAAAACTCAAGACTTCTGAAATGAAGGAGGGATTAGCAGGAAGGTACAGGCCCAGGTCTCCTTCACCCTGCCCCCTGCGGCTGGCTGGAGCCCCTTGGAATTAGCTGCAGTCACTCCAGCTGTTTTCACTGACAGACATCAGCCGCATTGAATGGTGGAGGATAAGCTAGAGCAGACTGAAGAGCCAGGACTGAGATATGAAGCTCTCTCAGGGCTCCGGGGTGTGCGCCTCTCTCCCTGACCCGAACATGGGAGATGGACCTCATTTCAGTCTTACATTGCGTGGGCAGCAGGGATTTGCAACAGTCAGGCGGAAGATGCCTGTTGTCTGTGCGTTTCATGTGCCTATGGGTGAAGGGGGGTGTAACAGTTAGACAGCTGTGGTTTTCTTTCCATGGAGCTGAGGGTGGGGCGGGCATAGCAGCTCCTTCTCCATACAATGCCAGTGTGAGTTCTGGGCCCAGGGGGCAGAGATCTGGCTGTGTGGGCGTGTGCCTAACAGCCCATTGAGGGGTCTTTGCTGAACCCGAGCTGCTGTCTGACTCAGCCCACCTCCCCCGCAGCACAGCCTACTAGACACAGCGGACTTGAGGCACAACACCCTTCCCCACAGGAGGCAGAGCAGCTGGGTGAGCCTGTCCACACCAGACCTCCCTTCCGAAGAGCAGCTTGAGACGGTGGCTGTGGGCGACGGCCTGATCATTTCCCTAGCACAGACAGAGCCAACGGAGGAGATGGGGTTCTGAATCAGGCTGCACTGAGCAATACAGAGGGAGCAGGCTCAGACCCTGAGCAAGCAGGAACCAAGAATACTTCACCTCACATCACCATCCACAGAAATCAGCCCGGGTGCCCAGCTTTGGTTTTACCTTAACGAGGAAGTCTCCAATCTGGAGCCCGCTCAGGATCTCGTGCACGATCTTCAGACACTCAGCGTCGGGAATCATGGGGTCAAACTGGCCGGCAATGTCAAAATCCTGGGGTACAAGCAAAGACAGTGAGACTCCAGGCAGCGTCTCCCAGCTGGGGGAGCCTAGCTGCAGCCAAGGACCCCAGACATACAGCTCCTGTGTGGGGCCCCCCCCACCAACCCCAGACACACACAACGTCCTCTTCCTCCTTGGCCATTTCTTAAGTCCACAGTCTGGCCACACTGCAGCCGTGTGGTCTGGCTGCTTGGCCCCCCGGGGCTGGCGCGGCTCCTGTCCTGCCGTTGACTCCGGCGTTAACTGGGAAGGGCTGGTTAACCAATAGCTTCGTTCTTACCCGTTAACATCCCCACTTTAAGGGTCACCAGCGCTGCAGCCACACATACAGCATCATGCGGACCCTGGGCCCGCACGCAGCTCCGGGCCGGTACTCACGCACTGGTAGAACTCCCTGTAGCGGCCCCTCGTCATGGCTGGGGTATCCTTGACTCCGGCGTTAACTGGGAAGGGCTGGTTAACCAATAGCTTCGTTCTTACCCGTTAACATCCCCACTTTAAGGGTCACCAGCGCTGCAGCCACACATACAGCATCATGCGGACCCTGGGCCCGCACGCAGCTCCGGGCCGGTACTCACGCACTGGTAGAACTCCCTGTAGCGGCCCCTCGTCATGGCTGGGGTATCCCGTCTGTAAACTTTGGCAATGTGGTAGCGCTTAATGTTGGTGATTTTGTTCATCGCCAAGTAACGCGCAAAGGGCACCTGAGCGCAAAGGGTTAAGGGTGAACATAAGACTTGCGTGGCTTGGAGGGCCCGTCCAAAAGGGCTTGCTGTGGACAGGGTCCCCCAGCTTCCCTGCACACTGGAGCAAAGGGTGTTCTGCCTCCTTCCCATGTGTTCACGCAGACCACTTATCACTGCAGGCAGCTGCTGGGGCACAGCGTGGTCTGGTTAACCCCTCCCCTGCTATCCAGGCTCAGGAGGGTGCACACCCTTCCCCAGCAGTAACAAGTAAGAGGCGCTCGCTCACTCAACGAAGGAGACAGCCCTGCAGCAACTACCACTGTCGGACATTCTGCTCCGTGAAGGCTTCCCAGTTTCATTACCCTCCGTCAGCACGACCAGACTGGGTCAGACCAAGGGTCCATTAGCCTGGCAGCCTGGTTTCCAACAACGGCCACCAGCAGGTGTGTCAGAGGGAATGATCAGAGCAGAGCAATTTACCAAGTGATCCATCCCGTCAGCCAGTCCTGGATTCAGAGCAGAGCGGTGTCCCCCGACCATCCTGGCTAATAGGCCCCGGGGGATCTATTCTCCATGAACTTTCCTAGCTCTTTCTGAACCCAGGTATAGTTTTGACCTTAATTCAATGCCCGGTAACAAGTTCCACAGGTGGCCTGCCCACTGTGTGAAGAAGCACTGCCCTAGGTTTGTTTCCAACACGCAGCCTTTTTATTTCATTGGGTAACTCCCGAGTCTTGTGTTGCGTGAAGTGGTGAACAATAGCTAAGTGCAGTGACCTGCAGCAAGTCAGGCAAAACCAGGAGCAGAATCCAGGTCTCTACCCCCAGACCTGTGCTCTGCTGCACGACTCTCCCACCACTGGGCAGGGACTGCCCTTCGCGTCTCCCTCTCATGGTCACTGCATGGCAGTGCCATCAGTGAGTACACTAGGTAGGATGAAATGGCGGAGACTGGCACAACAGGGACAGTGGCAGGATACAGTCAGGTCGTAGCGAAGAGACAGCAGCTCTCCCCCCTGGTCTTTCAGGTCATAGATGAGCTTCGAGTCCTCCCCGTACTTGCCCGTCAGGGTTTCCTAGGAGGAACAGAGACACCCCTCAGGTGAGAAGGGACAAAGCGCAACAAGAGGCTCAGCGAGGAAGCAAGGAGATGCTACGTGTCCATATGAGGAGTCAAGGGTGGTCTATCCCTTCCCCCTCCATAGCTCACTTCCCACGGGAGCGCCTCACAGTGAGGTCTCACTCAGAGCGCCTGCCTGACACATCGCACTAACGCGGCTCGGACGCTTTCAAATGCAGCCCAGGACTCCAAGCAGCAAACGTCCCACTCGAGGAGCAGACCTTCAGCACAGCCACCCCCTCCCAGATGGCACCTCACGGCCCCTCACCTTCAGCTCAAACACAGGGGTGTCGATGACCTCGGCTCCATGGCGCTTGAAGCAGCTGATGATGATGTCGAAGACTTTCTCCCGAATGGCCATCTGCTTGGGGTTGTAGTCCCTGGTGCCCTGGGAGCCCAAGTCGATGGAATTGGGTGAGAAGGGCAGAGAACCGTGATCTGTGCTAGGGCCGTAAAACCCCACCTAACAGGTTAACCAGCAGCCCCACCGATCCGCTGCTGCTGGGCTGGAGTGCTCCCCCTGCCTGCTGTGGACAGAAGCTGTCCTGGGCAGTCAGAGCAGCCTCTGCTGGCGATGCTCCCGAGCCCGCCGTGGGGCTGGAGCATCCCCTGCCCACGGAGAGCTGCTCAATGGGCACTGTTGCCCAGGCTACCAGTGATGGAGCCCGGATGGCCACACGTGCCCATCGAGACACATGCCGCCAGCTGTCAGCTCCTCTGCTGGCACGATCACTGGTCAGGAAGGAGCAGGTCAATGGAGAGAGGCAGCCTGGTCTAGGGCAGGGACCCCACATGGCAGCTCCTCTCTCATGGGGCTGGCTGGGTTCTCTCCCTGCTCCAGGCACTGCAGCCTCCGGGGTTCCAGTGCCACTCTGGCATGGCCCAGGCAGCAGGACAACAGGCGTCCGAGAGGCCAAACGTGAGCAAGATGCTGGCCCCGAGGGCACAGCCCCACTCATGCACGTTCGATCCACTCGGGGGAGGGACCAAACCTGAGCAGTGCTGCAACCCCCCAGAGGAGAGCGCCATGCCCAGCCAGCCCCACCGCACACTGGCTGCAAGAACCACCATTGTGAGGAGAGTGCTGGGCAGGATCCGGCCCACCTAGGATCCACCCAGGGCCTCACCCCCAGACTATTACTGGGTTGTGACAGGTCAAATATTTACAACTGGCGCTCGGCCCAAAAAAGCCCCCCCTGCCCCTCCAGCAGAGATTTGGGGGGCTATACAACCTTCCTGCAGTGCAAGGTGGCGCTGTACCACCTCAGACAGATGTGGCTGGCAGCAGGGATGGGGGGCACAGTTGTCCAGCTGAGAGGAGCTACTGGCATGGGGCACTGGCTAATGGGTAGCGGTGGCACCACACTCCTCTCGTTAGCCGCAGCATCTCCTGGGAGTAGAGCCCTGCGGACCAGTGGATACTGATTTCTATCCACACGCCTGGGCAGGATGTGTGTCCTACGCAAAGGCACACTGGTTTAAACCAATAACAGGTTTCTAAACTGATGCAAGCTCTGTGCTCTGACAAGCTTTCAGTTTTTGTTCTCTTTAAGGATGGGAGCGGCTGGTTGCCAGCTGTTTCACAGACTTGGCTGAGAACACTAAGGGCATCTTTAAAGACACAGCCTGGGAGGGGCACTTCAGACATATCTAGACTGCAGGCGTCTTTCGAAAGAACGTCTACGCAGCAAAAGCACAACAAAGCGATCTGCTTTTTCGAAAGACAGCGTCCACGTTCATTGGATGCGCTCTCGCATTTACATTTTGATT